TGTGCGCGCGAAACCATGCTCTAGACTGGACAATCCTTGTGACTCACGAGATGAGTGATACTATTATTATTTTTTTAATGTTATGGCGTTTGTGAGTGAGTTTACATGTATGTTGAGATTAATTTATTTTTTATTTTGTTAAAAATATATCATTTAAGTAAAATTTAAGAAAATTATGATAATTTATTTTTTTATTAATTTTTTTAAACTTAAATTTAATTAATAAAATAAAAACAAATCTTGTAATTAACTAAATCACATTTAGCTAGTGATATTATCCTTTATGCTGAGCAATATTATTCTTAATTTTCAAATCCAAGGAAGGGTCCCAGCAGAACTTCCCAAACCTTGCATTACTTATGTTAATAATTAATGTTCTCAAAATGTGTTGGGTAAAAATCATTAGAGAAATGTCAACTCCACTTTCATTATGGTGTTAAGAATTAAGATGTGATTTAATTTTTTTTTGCTTTTTTTTATTCCCGGGGAGCCCCGGTTGGAAGGAGAAAACTGAAACTGACAACTTAAACAGTAACCAACCGTAAGCTCAACTGACCCAATTGAACAACTACAGGCCGTTAGATGAGGTTCAATTCAATTCCTAATCAAACGCAATTAATTTACTCGGAAGCATGTTCATTGAGAAAGAAAATCAGAGGTTAATGAAGAGGTTATCGACTTTGAATTAGCAGTGGTGGACATTAAGGAATAAAGAATGAGCAAACGGTCAACAAAATTATTACATCAAAATTAAAAATTAATATAAAAATAAAAAATTTTGTGAAGAAGTCATTTTCTGTTAATTTGAGTAAAGAATATGAAAAATGTATTATTTACGTTTTTTTAAAGAATAAATATTTTTTAATTTTTTTATAATTAAAAAGAAGTTCTTTTTTATTTTAATTATATAAAAAAAACAACCATTTTTTATTTTTTAATCCCCTACTCTACTAAATTCTTTTCTAGCAAAATGAAATTATATTAAACTACTTGCATCATTGCAATACCTACCGTCTTAGGTGAAATCTTACCTAGTAATTAAAGTAATTGGTAAAATATACATAAAATTAATCGGTCAAAAGGTTTGGTTGCCTATGTTATTAAAAGAAAATATTAAAAAAAAAAACAAAAACAAGAACAAAAAGACAGTACTGCCAAGCAAACATGCTACTTTGAACAGATAAGCTATGGGCTAGTATAGATTTCCATTTTTTTTTTCCTGTGAACCCATGCTCTAGACTGGATAACCATTGTAACTTTGGCATACTTCTGTAATAATTCATTAGTGATCACTGTAGTTCAACAAGATTATCAATAAATTACATTTTGATTAATAATCAAATTTTATCAAGTATAAAATATTAACTTAATTTTTAATTTTTAACCTTTAACTATTACCTTTGTAAAAAAAAAACAAAAAAAAAAACCATTGTGGCTCCCGAGCATGAGTGATACTATTATTTTATTTTAATGTTATGGTGTTTGTGGGTGGGTTTACACGTATGTTGAGATTAATTTATTTTTGCTTTTGTTAAAAATATATGATTTAAGTAAAATTTAAGAAAATTATGAGAATTTATTTTTTTATTATTTTTTTAAAATTAAATTTTAATTAACAAAATAAAAACAATTCTTGTAATTAAACAAATCATACTTAGCTAGTGATATTATCATTTTTTTTGTATTGATCTTTCGCTTTTCGATAATCATATTAAGTTGAATTAATTTGAAATTTCAAATCAATGAATTAATTTGAAATCTAACCGTGTCGAACTTCATTAAGAAGAAGTATTATTAATGTTTATTTTTTCATTCATAAGTTTCGAACTTGATAATTTATTTTAAAAAATTAAATTCTTTTTATTCACACTAACACATCATTGGGGTGATATTATATCCTTTATGCTGAGCAATATTATTCTTAATTTCCAAATCCAAGGAAGGGTCCGAGCAGAACTTCCCAAACCTTGCATTACTTACGTTAATAATTAATGTTCTCATAATATGTCGGGTAAACATCGTAAGAGAAATGTCAACTCCACTTCCATTATAGTGTTAAGATGTGGTTCAATTCTCTCGAAAAAGATGTGGTTCAATTTTTTTTTCCCTTTATTTATTCCCAGGGAGCCCTGGTTGGAAGGAGAAAACTGAAACTGACAACGTAAACAGTAACCAACCGTAAGCTCAACTGACTCAATTGAACAACTACCGGCCGTTGGATGACGTTCAATTAATTCCTAGTCAAACGCAATTCATTTACTTGGAAGCATGTTCATCATTGAGAAAGAAAATGAGAGGTTAATG